TTTCTAACACAGCAGCCCTACTTTCCGGGACTGGGAACAAAGACTAGTAATAAACGGGAAGGGAAAACAACACACTTCTAATTGGAGTGACTTTGCTTCCATTTGATAAGTATTTGGTCTTCCAAGAGGCCAACTTTCTATCCCCTTTTTCAATGATGGGCTCCCAAATGGTATTGGATTAACAAAATTTGAGCATGAATAGGTTATGGATCAATAACAGAGATTTTCCTTTTCGTACAACATTTGGATTTAGCAGTTCGCACAGGGCTTCTGTTTACCAATCACCACTTTTTTTAAAGGTATGACAAGAATGGTGACCAGAAGTCACTTGAGAGGAGAAAGAAATTGTCCCAACACTCAACCAACCCAATCCCTCAACATTGCAAACAAAAGTCACCCCAAAAAATCTCTCTCTCTCTCTCTCTCCCAAAAAAAAAAAACTTGAGAATATCCACCCAAACCCATATAAAAACCTTAAAAACACAATGTAAGACTCCACAATGGAAAGACTACCAAATCAACCCAAAGTGAAAAACCCCAAAAATCCACAAACTCCAACAAAACCACAAAACTAGACTCCAATTTAAAACATTGCCCAAAACTTTACTCTATCACTCAGCTTATCCTGTGGCTTGAATAGGAATCTCTTTACTTATCTTAAGAGCTTTCTTTGATTTCTCCACCTTCTTGATAACTCTGACCCCAAATAAACCCCATTTGAACCCAACAAGAACTTTTGAAACCTGAACTCTTCGGTGGTTTATTTTTTATTTTTATTTTTGAAGCGTCTTACTGAATTAGGACTCTTTCGCAAATCTTTTGAATCCTTAGAGCTATCATTTATCCTCTCTAACTCCAAGACCGCATTCTTTTCAAAGGTCTAGCTTGCTATCACTTTTCCACCCTCTTTTTATCATCCCCTACATCTCTAGTTCACCTCAATCTATCAAGAGCATCTTCTACCCTTAAAGACCTTTATCTTTCTCCCTATTCGTCTTCTCCACTTTTTTAAACCTTCATTGCAAACTCTTCAACCCTCTCAAAAAAAAAACATTTTTCTTACCACCAATTATGTGTTCACAACTTCTTGGGAACACAGAAAAACATTCATTCATTAAAATTTTAAAGGGATAACTACACTGCACTCCACCTCAGAATTCTGAATTCCACTGTAGACCTACAACAATTCAAAATTTCAAACACCTCCACCTAAACACCAATACCTGCCCGTGTATTGGCATCAATTCGGAGCTGGCACCTACCCCAACTGTACGGTGGAGCTAAGATTTGTGGGGGTGGACTGAACAGTAAAAACCCCAATTTTAAATTGAAAAGATTACAACAAGAAGTTGTGAAAATCTGTCAAAACCCATTACAGAACAGCCCCACCCAACTGTATTACAAATGTGCCCAGTACATATGTTGTCTTTGAACCCCTTGCCTAGCTAAGCCATCTGCCAAACTGTTAGCAGACTTTTGTGTTCACAACTTCTTAATCTGAGTCTGTCTTTCTAAAGTGTGAGTTTCATCAATAATCACTTCTTCCGCTTGGTTGTCCCTATTCTCAAGATCATCCTTTGTCTTCTCCGACATCCATTAATGGGATGGCCTAGTCCTGTAAATTTTCCTCCTTTCAGACTCTTACATCCACTACATCATCACTGCCACCTACTTTCCCAAATTTGTCTACCAAAACTGACTCATCCATCCCCTGTAGACTGTAGAGCCAATCCAAACTCATCATTGTCCTTACCACCCTCGCTCTCCCCATAACTTCTTTAAGTCCTCCGTCAAGGTTCTTGGAAATCTCAAACAAATCGTCCTCTCTCTCCTAAACAACCTCCTCCCCCCCTCTGTTAAACAACCTTCTTCAACATTATTATCTATCTCCCCCCACATTTCCAACCGCCACTGGTTCAGTGTATTGAGTCCCCCCAGACAAACCCCCTTTCATAGCATTGTTTGCTTTTTTTGCTCAGTCATCACCTGAACCCCTTGAATCATAGATGGTTCTGCACAAACCACTAAACCCATCCCATTCACATTATCTGCCTTACTAATCACTACTTAAGGATTTGTAATTACCAACCATTGGAATTAGGGAGAATGACGGTTCAGCCCAGGGTCAGAATTTTTAGGCCCAAAGTACAGTTGGGGTGGGTGCCAGCTTGGAATTAATGCCAATTCACGGGCGGGCATTGGTGTGTAGAGTGGGGGGTTTTTGACATTTTGAATGTTTATAGCTCTGCAGTGGAAATCATAAATCTGCATTGGGCCTTCCGTACTTCTCTGTTGGAATTACTGTTTAAGCAATCAATGATGGTGAACTAACATAAATCTTCCAGAATGGCACAACTAAACAGTTATCTTGTAACACTAAAATATGTCTATTATTTAGATTTTGACATGTAGAATAAAAAATGTAAGACAACTATCGTGAGATTCAAAATATAGTGAATTATATGAATGGTCTATAGGCTCTATACAATAGTGGTTGAAAAAGCAAAGTAAATGAAGCTTTCGCTTTTCCCTCATAATGGATGTATAAATTTGTTGAGTATCATGTTAAAAGGGGAATTCAAAAATGAATTGTCCATATTAAAGAATTAAACAGAAGCCCCACCTAATTGTGTAATTTCCAGAATCGCTAAAGGCCAAATATTATCGGAATAGAATTATTATATTGATAAAAATGATAGAATTATGATGGCATTTGTTGGAGCTTAGAATAAGAAAAGATCTTAACTGAAAACTAGGATTGATATATAAAGCATATTTTGATACATATTGGTTGTTAGCTATCATACATACATGGGGCAATGAGCTAAAACATGTAGTTGACTTAAGTGATGGTATATAGTTATAGATGATTCTTTTCTTCTTCAATCATCAAGAACATGGTGTTAGCAGTCATGTTACTCATGTATGTGCGATTAGAAAAAGTCAAAAACTTTTAGCAATCAAGAACCTGACAACTAAGTTATTTATTCCAACGCTTTCCTAAGCATTAGGGCATATTTACTTGCATCCTACAGCAGCAGGTGGTCCCATAGTCCTGTAGACGTGCTGTAGTTTCAATTCTGCAAAGGGCAATCCTATATCTATGGTTGAAGGTTCTTCTTATTACACTAAGTAGGCTCCTTTTCAAGGAAGAGCATTTGAAAAGACAAAAAACTTGGGCTGGCAAGTGGAAAACACAGGTTCAAGTCTGAGAGCAGCCACTTTGTGCAAAAGAAAAAAAAGGGCCAAAGATTAGGTCTGTATCCAGTATACCCCTCCCAAGACCCAAGATAGCTGGGACCAACATTGGGTAATGGCTTTCTGTTTGAAAAGCCAAAAAGCAACATGTAGCTCCTCAGGGCAGGGTGAATGTGTACAGCATATACCGTTGTATACTTGAGTATATCCAAGGTGTAGTGCCTATTAGTTTACTGACATGCTATTGTTTAACTGCTTAAGGTTAATTGAAATTAATGAAATGAACTTTTACTGATCAAAAGAAGAAAAAAAGTCCAGGTTAAGGCCAAGCAAGAGTGTGGCCTGCCAACTCATTATTTTATTTTTCTGTATGTCTTGGATATTTCAAAAAGAACTGTAGACAAAAGATTTTCACCTACATTCATTGTCTTGCACAAGTACCCAAAACATCAAGGGCAATGTTGTATTTGCTATTTCTGCAGCTTCAGTTTGCAGGAGGAAATGATAACATAAAAAAATAGTTTTATATTGTAGTGTTGCATAATATTGTTCCTAAAAGAATTGAATAAACAATGAATTCTGTCAAAGGTTCAGGATATGGATTGCATATCTGTACAATGGGATCGGTGGGACATGTATGAGAAGAGTACATAACTAGCTAGTACCTCCAAAGCTTAGAACATTCAATAGAGAAACGGTTAATGTTAAAAGCAGGGTGAAAAGACTATAGCTGGCTGGTTTTCCAAAACTTAGAACCTTTAATAGAGAAACACTTAATGTTAAAGAGCTGCTTTAAAGAGTTTTTACAAACCTTTAATATCTTAATGAGTGAGGCATTAATCAAACAAATTAAAAATGAAAGTAAAAACAGTTTTCCTAAGTTAAAGGCACTTGGCTTATGCCACAGGGTGCTTCACTTTCAGTTTTTAGATTTGAGATTTCAAGAGGATTAAGCCTCTAAGGCTTGATGCTTGTGGCAGAGCATGGGCTTTTAATGGCCATGGCTTTAGAAACGTTGAAGCAAAATGAGAAAGCCGATCCCCTTGTACTACAAGAATTAAATTTGATGCAATAGCTTACTAACATGCATGTATGATGCTAAGCTATCATTTCATGGTTGTGTGCAGCCCCCCACACAAATAAAGGAATTATGTGTCAAGAAGCTAATTATTAGTGGTAATGCCACAGTTATTTATGGGTTTATTATATTTCATCAATTTGACAGTTAATAGGGTAGGTGAATCATCTTTAACTTGCAGATGAAATTTGAGGTAGGAAGTTGAAACATTACATACAGACTAGGATTTAGATAGTTTCATCTCCGGATAAAAAAGAAAAAAAATAGTGGATTAATTTGATAATATTTTCTTATAACATTGAAGTATTTCTTTCTTTCCCTTTTTTCATGCCTGTCAACTTCAGACTATTCATTACTGTGAGAAGATTCTAGCTTGTTAATGAGCAGTCTATTTTTCTTTATTAATTGCTTTTGTGAACTCTATAATCTTCAGTTGTCCATCTCATGGCTAGTCAACTCTTTGCTACTTTCATTTTTAAGTAGAGGGTTATGGGCACTATGTTGGAATCCATAGCCATTATCTCAATGGGTACTCTATGCCACTTGATTTACTTACAAATTATTATTCCTTCTCTTTAAAATTCCTTTTTGTACATATCTGAAATTGTAATGTTGCATGTCAAGTGTAGTGCCATGCTTGTATTTTACTGTAATGTGCATGAATATGTGATGTGAATAAGGAACATCGAAACACCAAACCTTGAGGTTTTGTTTTTCTTTTCAGAGCAATAAGAAAACTGAAAACCCAATCAGAGTCATCCCTTCTTTCTGCCCTCCGATCACCAAAAGGAGAAAGGATCCTTGAATTGGATGGCACAGTCACAACTCAACCAGTTCTCCAGCATGTTGGAGTTTCTACATGGCCTGGTAGATTTCTGGGCTTTTTTCTTATTTAATTCTGTAACTTTCATTGTTTACACTTGTATCATTATTATACAGATTTATCATTGCTCTGACTTCTTGCCAACTGCAGGTCGATTAATATTGACTGATCATGCACTTTACTTTGAACCTCTAAGAGTTGTAACCTTTGATAAGCCAAAAACATATGACCTATCAGATGATCTAAAACAGGTTGTTAAACCTGAGTTAACAGGACCATGGGGTACACGAATTTTTGACAAAGCAATCATGTACAAGTCCATCTCTGTGTAAGTTCAATATGTTATTTTTCGTATTTTATCCATATGTTTTACGCCATTTTACTGATCAGGTTATGTGTTTATATGGGTGACTGTATGTCTGTTGTGCAATTTTCTTGCAAGTCCTTAACTCCAATTGATACTGATTGACCTTTATTTGGGTTTTAGACCAGAATCAGTTATTATGGAGTTCCCAGAGCTGAAAGGACATACTCGTCGTGACTATTGGTTAGCCATTATCAGAGAAATCTTATATGCTCATCAGTTCATCCGTAAGTTCCAGATCAAGGGAGTTCAACGAGATGAAGCACTTTCAAAGGCTACACTTGGAATTCTGCGATTACAAGCTCTTCAAGAGTTTTCTCATGCAAGTTCTGTTCGTGGTGAGGCATTTCTCATGTTCAATCTTTGCGATCAGCTTCCAGGAGGTGACTTAATACTGGAGACACTTGCTAGGATGTCAACCTCAAGGGAGCTGGACAGAACTAATAGTTCAACTGCTAAGAGTGGGATGTATTCAATATCAGCTTTCACCATGATGTCTAATTTAGGAGTCACACTTGGGATGGGTTCAACTGTTCCTAATGAAACAGGACTTGTTGTGGGAGAGATAGTTGTAGGGGAGATGACTGCATTGGAAAGGGCAGTCAGAGAGGCAAGAAGTAGCTTTAAAAAGGTTGAACTAGCACAAGCAAGCATTGATGGGGTCAAAGTAGAGGGCCTTGACACCAATTTGGTTGTGATGAAGGTATTGCAGATGGAACTTTATATGTATAGGCTCTCAGTATCTACCATTTTCATTGAGCCATCAAATTGTCATCACCATTATCCGAGCCTTACTCCAACTATATGGGGTTAACTACGTGAATCATGCCATTCTGTTCCGTTTAATGCCATATCCATTGTTAAATTATTCGTGCTTAAATCATTTTTTACCACTTCAATCCATGCCCTTTTTGGTCTACCTCTACCTCTTCTAGCCCCTTGGCTTGCAACAGATCACTTCTTGTGGGTTCTGTCGAAGGTCTTCTATGCACATGACAAACCATCTTAGTCTACTTTCTCTCATTTTATCACCTATTGGAGCTACTCCTAAGTTCCTTTGAATGACTTAATTTCTGACCCTATCCTTTTTAGTTTTTCCATTCATCCATCTCAGCATACACATTTCTGCCACTCTGATTTTTTGAACATGTTTCTTGACTGTCCAACACTCCGCTCCATACAACATAGCTGGCTGTACAACTGTTTTATGGAATATTCCTTTTTAATCTAAGTGGTATTCACCTACTATATAAGATTCTAGATGTACCCCTCTATTTTTGCCCATCCTACTCTAATTCTATGGATGGTATCCTCCTCAAACTCTCCCTTGTTATGAGTTGTTGAACCAAGGTACTATAAAAGGTCACATTGAGTTATCTCTTGATCTCCAATCCTAAGTGTACCCTGATTTGTGGTCCTATTATTATTAAATTACATATCATATATTCTATTTTGGTCTTACATATTTTAAGACCTCTTGTTTCTAAGGTGTTTGTCCATAAACTTAATATTGTATTTAATCCTTCAATAGCTTCATCAATTAAAATGTCATCACCAAACAATATGCACCATGAGACCTCTTCCTGAATATATTTAGTCAATTCTGAGTCACCAAATTGTGAACTATCAAATATTTCATGCAAATTGGGTTTGTTTTCAGTCTACCCCTACCAAGATCCTGAATAGCTAGGACCATCATTGGGTAATGGCCCTCTTTTATATTTCATGATCAACAAAGAAAATGAAAAAGTGTGAAATGTAAATATTTGTGGAACTTTATATACACAAATTGTCCATACTCTTACTATTTCCTTCACAATTTTTGTTTTTTGCAGGAATTGCTCTTTCCTGTAATAGAATTAGTAAAGTATCTTCTTTTTCTTATATCGTGGGATGATCCTATTAGGTCTTTGGTGTTTTGTTGTGCATCAGCGTACACAATTTATAGGTAAGATGCCTATATGACTATTTTATGATCTGTTGTAAATTGTAATGCTCTCAGTGTATGAGTTGTTAGGACACTTGAGCTACAAGTCCCATCAACTCCATTTCATGTGATATAAGGCTTTTTCTTTTTTTTTCCCCTTGAAACAAAATTGAAAGTTGCTTGTGCTATTGGTCATTTGGATAGCTTTATACTTTAATCTAATTTCTTTATAACCTTTATTGACGTAAGGCAGGACAGTTGCTTCCACTTGACTTCAAGTAGGTATTGACTGTTTCAAGTATTGAATGGGTTAATCTCCGAGAATTAGGTGAAGCATCTATAAACGAAAAGAACATATGGAATTTTTAATCACTAAAGAAATGGACCTGTTCACCGAATGGCTATATTTGCATTTAACAGTTTGGTTCTTGGTTAATTGCTCTGTTTTTGATTGAAAAAGATCAAACTTGTTTTTCAATTAAAAGGATAATTACCCACCTAAGAAAATCCAAGACACGCATTGCCAACTTCTAGTGTCTGTTTAAATTAACTCTCGTTCTGGAATGAGACAATCCTGAATCAGTGGAAGCATTTCCAGAGCAAAATTAGGAGTTCTAAAGAGAAGGGCTTAGATTGTATAAAGATTAGAATATCTCAGATGCACACTGTATCACTCAATCACATATATCCCTTTGGATGATCATTTTCTGATGCTTATCAAGATAGCTTGCCTGGTATCTGGTGGTTATATTCATGGTTTTCCCCGTTCTTTCATTGTATTGCTAGTTATGCTTTTTCATTTTATGGGTCTACCATCCCTAGATGTTGTAACAAGTTGCAATGCCATGAATTTTGTGGCCCACTGTTTATGGGCTTTGAGAATAAGGGCTCAGTTTTGGTCAAATAATTAAGCACAGTTAAAAAACTGTGGATTGAGGGCTCTTTGCTACTCAAAATACCTCCAAAGTCCAAATCAATTAAATTGGCTTCATGAAGATATTGGCAATTTGCTTCTCATAAACTGACTTTCCTTTTCCATTGTTACTTTGTGATGTGATCTGTTGCGTAACTGAATTTATTCAGGGGATGGCTGGGATATGCACTTGCACTGCTGTTTCTGTTTATTGCCATCTTTATGGTACTCACAAGATGCTGTAGCCAAGGGAAGCCTGTGGATGAGGTCAAAGTAACAGCTCCTCCAACAATGAACACAATGGAACAGATTTTGGCAGTTCAAAATGCAGTTTCCCAAATTGAAGAGTTCATCCAGGAAGGGAATGTTGTTCTCCTCAAGTTGCGAGCCTTGCTCCTGTCTGTTTTCCCTCAGGTTTTACTCTCTTTCCTTCAAATTTCTAGCTTCTGCAAGTTCTGTTTACTATTTTGGCATAGTAGGCTTCACATAATAGTGTTACCATGACATGGTGCTAGTAATGACTATTCTTCTCATGTTAACAATAACTAAACTGTAATATGAATACCATGCTCTAGAAGATTTTAAAATAAATGGAGAAATATGGATTTGTGGTCCATTTTCTCAGTGCTCCCTAAACCATGTACCATGCAAATGGGCATAATAATCACATCTATCAGCATCCTTGTATCAAACAGTGCCTGGATGTAGTTCCCTGAATTCTTCACCCTACAGACATTGTGGAATACATGCAAGGGCATGTCCAACTCTGGCATGTTCTCTGTCTTTTTGTAAGTCCAGCCATGCCTGTGGGATGAAGAATTCATAGTAACATAGTGTTTACCAGATACCTTCAAATTTATTCCATCAACTATTCCAAGGACCAGCTTGCGAGAACTTGGATCTTCTGGTGGCCCATGTGATTTGCCCAATAGTTAATGAATTGATTGGTACCACATGGAACCTTGAATTACTTAGCCCCTTGTACAATATGGCAGGTAGGGGCCATCAAGGATGATGGACCTTTCTGTAACATATAATGCCTTGAATGTAAACAATTTTTATGGTTGGTGGGAAAGCTTACCAAATTTATTTATGTTGTCATGGTTTTCGTTAAGAAACCTTACCAAATTTTGAGCTAGCTATAGTAAATTTACAATAACTGTCACAAACAGGCAAGCGAGAGAGTTGCATTTGGGCTGCTGCTAGTGGCCTTTGTTCTGGCCTTCATACCTTGCAAGTACATAGTTCTTCTAATATTTCTAGAGATGTCTACGAGATATTCACCTTTGAGAAAAGCAAGTACAGAGAGATGGGAAAGGAGACTGAGAGAATGGTGGTTCAGCATTCCAGCAGCTCCTGTTCTCCTTGAAAGAACCAAAGAGGAAAAGAAGAGGGAATAATGCTCTTCTTGTAATTATATATTTGGATATGTACATATATGATGTATTTTTATTCTTTAGGGAGATAAAAATAAATATAGATGTAAATCTCTATACTGAAATTAATTACAAGGAAGCAGCAGTAGTCTCATTAGATACTCTTCAGAGTATATATATATATCATCAGAATCTTGATTAGGTTCTACAACCATAACACTAGACGCACACAAAATTACGCATGAAATGGTGATCGATAAATTTTGCTGCTGGTTCAGTTTTGCATTTGTTTGTTTGTAATTATGTTTCTCACTGGCGTATCGATATTTTGAACCTTGCTAAAACTTGACAAATTTTGCACCACCTTCCTACATAAGGTCTCTCTAAATATAAAGTGACGATTATATAATCTTGCTTTTTACCTCATTCTCAACAAATATCCCTTCTACCCAAGGTTTTAAAAGCTGACCCAGAAATGGAATCACTGTGGCCACTGGTTTCTGGGTCAGCGGTTTGACCATCCAGGTTGAACGGTTTAGGTGGTTTGATGAAATATGAGTATTAGGGTTAGGGTTTCATTCCTTTTACTCTTTTACGAGGGAAAAGAAAGTGGTTGTTGGCTGCAAGAAAGATGAAAGTTAGAAGAAAAAGAAGGAAAGAAAAGAAATGGAGGGAAAAGAAAGGAATCGATGGAGGGAAGGAGGGAAGGAGGGAAGGAGGAGACGGCAATGGCGGCGTGGTGATGGCGATGGCAACAGCAGCAACAGAAACGCAGGGTTAGGGCTTCATTTTCATATGTTTTGCTTTTCTATCAGCTAAAGAAATTTGTTATTTGATGACAGTGGCCACATGACAATGAAGCAAAAACAGAGCAAATAACTAACCAACACTTCAAATCCAAAGAAATTTTGGTCTAAGACACTTGTCAAGGCAAGAAAGTATTAGTTTTTGACAAAATAAATCAAGTATGACGTTCTCCAGATAGTTTTTTGGCGATATTTCCTTTTTCAGTCGCTTTTAGAAGCAGTGTGGTGAAGAACTGGTTAATAAAGAAAATTATGACACTTGAAGGGTATTTGTGTCCTTTTATATGTCACTTAACGGCTAATTAACATTAGGTACTAAATTGGCACGTTTTGAAAATTTAGATATTGGATTAACATGCTTTAAAGTTCGGGGACCAAAACGACATTAGGCTCAAAGTACAGGGTACTAATATGGAATTTTCCCCTTCAAAAAATAAGACATGGCATCTCAACTTTGACAATGAAACCATTATCAAAATAGGTCATTTCATATATCATTAGAAAGATCTTAGAGTATTTTCTAACACAATAAAGGATGTGCCAATTGAAGTTTTCTACAAAAAGTTATAGGCCAAACAAATGAGGTCAACAAAATTACTTGCACATCCAAATCCTTCAAAAAAAAAAAAAAAAAAAAAACAAAGAAATAAGATGTTGATGGCCCAAGTTAAAAATCAACACAGATTCAGTTCAATATATTCATCTTCGTGAAGAAATCATTGAGCTCAAGAAAGGCTACAAAACCTCCAATGCATGATGGAGGAGATCTTATAAAGACTTCTTAAACAAGTTACTACAAACAATTACACTGGTTCAACCTTGTTTGTGGAACAAGCATTTAAAGATTGCAATGACAACCTTGTGTGACCCTTTTCATGAAAAAATGTTAAATGAAGAAAATTACATTGAATATGATAATCCTTTAAAGTTTAATGAAGAGTCTATTACTTAAAAGGAATTTTCCATCATTCATAATCAATTTTAAAATGATGGAATGAAATATTTATCAAATAGGAAAATTTGGTTGCTTTATACAAGTATATATTGACAACTATATTTTCAATGTTTTGGATGAGTGTTGATAAAAGAATTAGTTAATTTGAAGCACAAGGAGTATGCCTCAATAGTTATGACTTATGAGGCATAATGAAGAAACCACAATTCAAGTAAGAGGCTTACACCATCAATTGTCTATCGAAGGGTCAATAAGAAAAAAATGTAGCGGAGGCATGGTGACAAATAATTCTCTTAGAGTTGTTAAAAATAGAGAATGAGTTCTTTTCAAAAGAGGAGTTTAATACAGTTTAAAATTATGCTCCAAGAATAAGACAATTGAGCCTTAATTTAAACTAAATAGTGAACTTTCAACAACCAATTTGGTTAGTGGGTTTCTAATAACTAGTTTTACATTAAAGCTTAAATAATTAGTTTTTGTTCTCTATATAAAGCTTTGTAATCTCTACCTAAAGGTGCCAAGTTTTTTGTTTTTTTCATGAAACTTAGAACTTTTTCTCATAGTTGATATGGCCCTTTCTTTGGTGAATGAATCTCGTCTTTTTTGAATTAGTGAGTCCCCAATTTTATTATTGTCTCTTGTTATCTATTTTATATTAACAAAGTTTCATCCAATTTCCTTTTCTTCCTGTATTTTTTTGGGCAAAGTTCTTTCATTTTCTTTCTTCATATTTGAGTTGCATTGATTGGTATAAGAGCTACATCAATAAATAGGAGATCATTTCGATTGGCCATTTCAATTCACAAAACAATAGTTTGCTTGCTTGGTGATGAATGAAATCGGCTTAAGCTTCAAGGACCGTGGCCATTGAGTTCAATGATCCTCCCTTTTGGTTAAGTATTTGCTAGATTAGTTGTTAAGGTTTAAAATAGATAGTGATAGATTCATGGGTTTATCTGTTTTACTTTGTTTTTTTCTTTTAGGTTATGTTTGGATTCATAGAATACAAGAGAAACAGAAAGTTAAGGGAAAGTTACTAATTTCTCTCTTACATTTTGTTAAATAAAATAGGGCAATACTTGACTCCTACCCTGATAAGACAAAAGTGTCCACCATCTCTTCATCTTAATATCAAAATCCTGTTTCGTAAATTTTAACCATAAACCCTAAACCCTAAAATTAACAAGCAAAATGCCTTTGGTTGGATAAATGTCTTCTACTGAGTAAGAGCGAAATATTTTCTAACAAAATGCAGCAGTAGGGTAAATTGTAGTGTGTCCACTTCACTATCATCATAAATTGCTCAAGATTCTTTTGATCATTCTCTTTGCTTCTTTTTTTTTTTTTGCCGATCATTTTCTATTTAGGGTTGATGGAGTACACTACCCTCAACTTTGAACTTCCAAACAAAATTGCAAAACCAGATGTTCCATAAAAAATATTCAGAGGCTTCATGAACCTCTGATTTGCAAAACCAACCAGTAGCAAAACAACTGCATCCTTAACCGACTTTTGAGTCTTGGATCAGTTTAAGATTCCTTTACTGGGTCCCATTGATTCATCTCAAGCCTGCCCACCATAAACTCCAATAAATACCGAATGAATTCTAACAAAATACACCTGACAATTGAATCCTTGATTGTGATGATGTTTTGTTTTTTCTTTTTTTTTTTTATTTATTTTATACCGAACTATTGATTGGACATTGAGACATTGGATGAATCATGAAACTAAAATTAAAATGTTTTGCTTTTTGAAAAAAAAAAAGTGTAGCCGTCTTTTTCGGACACCCCATTTAATAAGCATATAAAAGCAGGATCTTTTTTGTTTATATGTGCCTAAAAACTTCGTAGTTTCAGTTTAATAAGAGGATACATACACATTATGGCTGGCACGAAGTATTTCTGTCGTCTAGGGATTGATTCCCAGACTCGGTTCATCATTAAAAAAAAAAAAAACAAAAAGAAAAGAAGGGGGCGTTTTACTTGTGAGATTTGGTATTTTTAACGAGCACAGATTTCCTATAAACTTTTTCTATCCTTTCTCTATCGGTCATGAATTACAGCTCCGAGTGATTCTAAACCTGGTATCGACTAACAGATTTGAACAACAAAGAATCATCATATCGTTACTTTGTTGGATATTGGGTTAGTCTCTCAACAAAGAATCATCATTAGGCCCACGTACCATACTAAGGGTCTGAGATCCGGAGTCCAATCTTATATCTTCTTCTGTTTAAAGGTGACAAATGATAACAAGGGTCTGAGATACTTCAACCCAAGGGCTTTCAAGCATTTCCGACCAGTGCTTTCTAAGCTTAAATTTTAAAAGAAGAAAAGCTCCTTAGCATGTTTTTTTTTTTTTATTTACTTTATTTGGCCTTTATACTTAGATGCTTAAGGCCTGAAGTATATTGGGGCCGCAAGTTAAAAATAAGGGTAAAATATAGAAAACCCCTGAGGTTTTATTTTTATTTTAACAAAAACATCTCTTATAGCTTTGAAAATTACAAAATTGTCCTTACTATTCTTACAGCATCTTTCAATATAATTAAAAATGTCAAATTTGCCCTTCTAAACTTCACTTGATCCCAATGAGCTTTCAAAGTTAAAATTACATTACTATTTTCAACCTGATCCGGTTAAAAGTTAAAAGCTCTTTCAGGTATTTTAGTAAATCTCCATTGTATTGATATTGATAGACCCAAGGGTAAAATTGATATTTTCAAAAATTAATGTATTAAGCCAATGTTTTCCATTTGAGACAATGACAAAAGAGAGATAACTGTAGGATTTTGGTTTTTGTTAAAGTGAAATCTCATGAGAGATTTTTATATTTTACCCAAAAAATATATAAACTTGAGTGTTTAGCTTTTTTAACTTTCAGATAAAATTTGTGCATATATACCTGTTAAAATTATAAAAATTTATATATTTATAAATATTAAAAAGAATTATGTTGGTTTCATGATTAAGTGATACGTGTATCATTTTTCAGTTGTCAATGCGATGCCTAAGCAACAAGGTCCCGATGGAGGGTCACCTAGCTCTCTTAAGTGCCTAACTATTTTTGTATATGGTGCTATAAATTATTTTTATATTCTTATTCATTTGGTAAGCGTATATATTAATTTATTTAATGAACACACATTAGTGTATGCTGTCTTGATTTCTTAGAGACTTCAAAAACCTGAATCAATAAGGTAAAATTTTGTTGAATATTTGAATCATCACAGGATTTGAACTTTTTTTCTTAATCCATTGACATAGGCGATTGGCTGACAATGCCCCCTCCTATAGCCTTGCCTTGCCATCTTGAAAATTATGGCCATGATGATTCACAACACTTCACATAGACCATGAGCACACATCGTCTCTCTCTCCCCAGTAGACCTGATCATGGGCCAGGCCGGGTCGGGCTTGGGAGTGGCTTTTACTCATCATTAATGGAAATACACTAGGCCCAAGCCCAAGCCTGAGCCCGACCCTGATAAAAAGCCTGAAGCCCGACCTAATAAAAAAAAATATAATTTTCTTTATTCAAATTAGAATTAAAAATTCAGATGATTTTTTTTTCCTATTTAAATAAATAATGGGCCTACAAGATGGTTTTTTTTTCCCTTTCTTTTACGTTTTAAAACACAGTTTTACATTCTTAAATCAAAAAATTTATTCAAATGGACATAATCACATAACCCATTTTAAGTCTAATTTTAGGTTGGGTTGGGCCAGGCTATTTTGACAAAACCCGAGCCCGGCTCAAATTTATTGTGGGCTGGGCTTTTTGGACCGAGTTTAAGCCCGTGGGCCTATAAACATGTTCAAGCCCGTCCGGGGGCCGGGCCAGCCCGTCGGGCCACCCGGCTCATGAACAGGTCTACTCCCCAGGGACAGAAAATTTACTGTTCCAGACCAATAGAAATCTACCACATCATTTTAAAAAATCACTTTAATTTTGAAATGAGAAAATAGGCTGATGTGTCAGATTGCTAGTGGTCTGAATCTGATACAGAAAATTTTCTGTACCAAGGGGACAGACGGTGTAAATTCATTAAAGTATGGTTTTCAAAATCAAACTGGACCGGACAATTGGACCAGAAAAACTAGGGTTCCGTTTTACCCTAGAACCATTATTTCCCCAAAAATCATTGATTTGGTCAACAAACCACTGATCCAGGTGGTCGATCTGTTCAATAGTTTGACCAGTTTTTATTTCTTTTTAATTTTTTTGTCAGAACGAATTATCTGTTTGATTTGAACCATCAGACCATTTGAGTAAAAAACCAGACCTTGACCGGTTCGTTGTCCGGTTTGATTTTAAAATCCTTGCATTAAAGTATGTGTTAAAGGGACATGGATTTGATGTTATTGATTATTGATGTAGAATGTGATGATTTATCTGTGGTTGATTTTTTGCTAAATCAAAAGCTGGGGTGGTTTTCCTTGTTTTTTAAGCCAAATTAAGCTAGGATGTCCTTCCGATGTTTAGTTTTGTTGTCCATAATCTTAATTTTTGGTGCAGCCCATGTCACTGCTAAGAAAGGTTTTAGTGAGTCAGGTAAGGTGCTTAATTGGTTATCCTCCTTCCTGGTTTGCGTATGCATTGGTCCTGGATAATAGTAGTCAAGTGCTTGTGGTATTGAGTCTGGGCAGTAAAAAAAAGGGAATAAAAGATTATCTTTAAAATTTATTTGAATTTTGTTAGCATATTCAGGGATGGCAACGGAGCCCAATTTATTTGGTTTCTTATTTTTTGTTGTATATTAGCAATAAACAAGTAATATATTATGAAATTATTTAATTAAAATATATAAAAAAATACATAAACTATCAATTATTCTTTATATAAAATTCATAATATTATTAAATTCGGCACCTAATTAATAAGTTCGTACGACTTTCCATACTAAATCCCACTTGTACTCATATGGGACCCCAATTAAAATAGGCCCCACTATGTCAATACTAGGTCTTGGCATTTGCCATAATTGGAACATTGCCTGTGGTTTGGAGATAATTTGGGACCAAAACTGTGTGAGGTGATGTGGAAAAAGAAAGAGGAAAAGAACTTGTACACTTTTACACAGATGAAGTGAAAGCAATAGAAAATGCACACTTTAAAATAAGAATCTTTTTAGCAGGAAGTAAAATATGGTTGTTAAGTGGCTAGCCAATGAATGTATCAAATGGGCAAGCTATTATTCCAGAAGATGTCAAATCTCTCAATCTTGATAAGGCTGATAATGACGGTTGGTCTCAAGATTGTATGGTGACATTATGGTGTGGTCTCAGGCTGCTCCATATATATATATAATGTTCCTAAAAAAAGGTTTTCAAAACAAGGCATGATATAGGCGCATGAGCATTTCTTTAGCACATTCAAACAATGGTCTATTTATGTCCACGATAAGAAAAGTGAACATCGATACCTAATGGAAGGTATTGACACCCACACATAAATCAAAGCAAGTATGGGCATAAATTTTAAGGTGGCCGCCCCTTTATCTCGAATAAATTTAGGGGTCTTAAAAAATATGCAAGTATGAGCATTATATAATGTATATAGTATAGAAGAGATAAATATAGACGGAAATTATTTGGGGTTAAAATATTTAAATATTATTATTTCTGTCTGGTTTACATAATAAATAACTTTGTTAATTCTCTCTCTCTCTCTCTCTCTCTCTTTACTGTTTAGATAGGTTTAATGTTAAAATCTTAAAGGGGAGGGGGTGTTAGACAATATGTATGGCTTTGTTTTTGAAAACAAAATTTCTGCCACATCAGTGAAACCAATATATATGATTTTATTGATGTGGGAATTAATCTAATTTGTTTTGAAAACATATTGGGCAAAACCCTCTTAAAACTTTGAATAGCTAACACTACTTTAAAGAAAAGTAAAAGGCTGATTTAGACTGAAGGATTGATGGCACAAGTCATGTGGTCAATCTAAAGGGTCGTCCCCCAGTTTAAGAAGACAGATCAGATCGATCATTGACGATGGTATTCCACAAAATTAATTAGTTGTATGTTTTGCAGTGAGATGTGATCCCAAAACAAGCTAGGAATTGGCAGATATTTGATTGGTGTAGGGTGGTATGAGGTGTATTGATCAAGGAAATTAATAGATGGGGATGGATCCATCAAAGCAACAAGAAAGCGAGCAAGCCCACCCTTAACTCTTAAGTTGATCGATCAAGAAGAGAATATCAAAGAAGAGACTGTCGGCTGTTGCTAGCTAGCCTCTGTTCAATTCAACGATGCGCTGGATTAATAAATGAACCACGTAATTTGGTAGAAAAAGCCTTCTAAATTCTAATTTGCAGTCAGTCGTCATTCAAAATCAAATGAGAGAGATAGAGAGAGAGAGAGAGGGGGGGAGTTGTATTGTCCCGTACTCCCTTTCTTGCACGCTGCCGTTTCTTGTTCTAATGTTATTTGTCAAGTGTCTACTCCCTCCGTCCCAGGTGCTGTATCCAACTTATATTGGTATCTTCTACGTATTAAATTTGACTAATTAGCGGTTGTTAGCATATTACATTAATTCGTTTTTAAGATGCCATTTTGGTATTACGTCTTGTCCTTTTGTCCTTGTGAGCGCTCCGTCGTCACGGCTTAAGGCCGTGAAACTAGCAATCGTCAGCCTTATTGGGATACCTAAACAACTCCAATCCTAATCTTGTGATTATGGGTGTAAACTAATTTTCCCTTACTTTTGATATCCAAATTTCAATCAAGTCTAAATTCATTTCTTTTCTCCAATATATCGTAGAAAGAAAAGTATTAGAAAATCTCATATATGTATATTAATGCTGTAACTGGTTCGGATGTTTATCGGATCAAATCAAATTATATTCAAATTGAATCCGATAAATTAAACGGTATAAATTTCATATCCAAATTTGATGGAGGATTACCGTAATTGAATTATTGATCATTTATGTCAAATCTCGAACATGAAATCGGAATTTTGGGTACGGTTTACACCCCAACTTGTGACTTGTATGGGCCAGGGCTATGTCAAACAATGAAACACCCACCAATAAAATAAATAAAAAATAAAAAAGTTTTTGGAATTTTCTTAAAAATAAATTTCCAACAACTGCCTCTAACTCAACTATTCCCAAGTCCCAATCGGACTAGTTTGATTAGTTGTTTGGATTAAGTTAATCTCGTTAATTAATATCCTAAAACACATTTCTATGCGGTAATCACCAACCTGTTGAGATTCCATGCTGATTGCATTTTTCCGGCTTTCGGGTGACGGGTGTGCCCTTCAGCCTTCTGCCCCCAGCCCTTCTGCGGTGGCGGGGCCACTCACCACTACCAAGTGCCAACCCCACCATAAGCCCAAGCCGGCGATCAAGATCGTCATCAGAGCACGATCTCCACGGTTAGCGTTGGATGACTATTGATGAGCCCTTCGATGACTGCTCACTGGTCACTGCTGCTGTAGGGGCCCGCCACTCGGAGTACCTTACCTAGTTACCTAACACTAATCATTGACAAACGTGAAGCACCTAACCTTAACGCTAACAGAGATTTTGCCTTTCGGAATTTGGACCAGAGGCCGAGAGGGTCTGTCTACTGATTGATTGATTACTCAAGGAAAAGCTCTGATTGCCACAAACTCGAACAGTACGCAGTTGAAATTAGTGCACCAGATCGCAGCATTCTGAAGTTGCTGACTCATCCAATCCAATCCATCCATTCCCAAGAGACGGAGACCCGCTTCATCTCTCTCACTGACGTGTATCCGATTCCCACCAGCTCTCTCAAGCCACTACACAAATCAATATACTCCACGTCATCCATATACAATTTCTATATTCCCTCTCTCTCCTCCTCGGCGATTATTAAAACCCCTCCGCCTCCCATTTCTCACCTCCTCTCTGTTTCTTCTCTCTCTCTTTCCGTCGCCTTCGCCCTGAAGAAGCTTATCTGAAGCCTTTTCTTTGGGTGCAGCCGTGCAGGCTACTTTTTTTTTTCTTCGTTTTTGCTATATTCAGTGGCGCATGATAACCATGGAAATACCGGTTATCAGTAGAATAAACGGTTTTGAAGCAGGGATAAATTGCTTACAGAACCCATCTTTCGTTTCCCGTCTTTTTCATCTCGCAGGGATCGAAAAAGTTTCTCTCAATTACAGTCTCTGGACATGGGGGGCCCTGATTGTCGCCTTCCTTGCAACTTTCAGTAGCGTAATCGCAAGAACCCAACTCCTAATTTTCAGATTGTGGAGGGGTAGACCCGTAACTTCAGAACATATTTTCAGGACGCTGGTCGACGACGACGATGATGAAGATGAGAGCTTCTCATGTTCTTCATCGGATGATGAAGACGAAACCGTTTCGGAATTCGAAAATCGAGGACCCATCGATGAAGATTTTCGAGTGGCGGGTTCTCGTAATTGCGACGAGGACCGAGAGGAGAGTTTTAGATTGAGACACCGGCGACGACGCAGCAGCTGCGAAGATGGATCTTCGTGGTCCGACTTCGCAAGCAGCAAAAGCGTCGTCAAATTATGGGACGGATTAGGCCTGGGGTTTCGGAACCCGTCGGAGAATGTTATCTCGATGTGGGATCTGAACAAAGACCAAACCATATGTTCGTTCTTTGGAGGAAGGTGTCAGTTCCCAGCAGTGTCGATGGTGTCGCCGGCAGTGATATTATCGGCGGGACTGGAGAACCGCAGAAACGCAGCGTTGAGGATCTGGGACGCCAGAGTGGGGCGTCAGATTCCGGCGAGTTTTGCGGAATGGCAGCCTCGACAGAGAAGGATAACGGGCGTCGACTCAGGCGGAGTGGAAAAGGTGTACGTCAGAGATGACGCCAGCTCAGTGGTGGTGCGAGATATGAGGAACCTTGGACTGCCTTTAGATTCGACGGAACCGGAATCAGAAAAGACTTGGTGGGATGCTGACGCCGTCATCTTATCGGACGGAGAATGCGGCGGTGACGGTTGCTTCGGAAAGAGGCTGGGGAATGTTGGTGGGTCCGTCGTGTCACGGTGTCGCGACGCGGTGAAGTCTTACCTGTTTTATTAAAGTCACATTTCGAAGTGGGACGAGCTAGAGCTAAAATTAGCCACCCCTGATCCCTGAGACCCCGAGACGCCGCCGTTGGAGGGCTTTCTTTGTAAATAACTATTATTGCTCGGGGAAATGGCAAGATGCATTGTCCCTCGATTAATTACGCTTAATCTTAATTAATAAAAAAACAATCGTTCGGTGAATTATTTATGGAAATGACTTCTCAATAAAAATTATGAGAATGATACTATTTGTCTTAGACTGACACGTGGAAGGGGTGGTGGTTGGCCTTGGCGTTCACGATACGTTTGTTGGCTGTGGAGCTAAGCATAGAAGCTACGGCAAAGTGCGACCCAAGCAACAGTGAAGTAGAAATTATTACATTATTCTTTATGCATTTGTACTGATGCAAAATAAATTAATTTAATTTGCACTGAAAAGAAATAAGGGTAGAAGCGGAGGCTAATAAAAGACAATCGATCAATTATCAATAGCAAAGAACTCTGTCTCTGTGGGAACCACATACATCCCTTTATTGTTCTTCAAAGATCAAAAGTATGGCTGTAAAAGGAGGGAAGGCCTTTAACAGGAGGGCCCACCATTGGATATAGATATGCCACTTGGAAGATCGCACCTACTTCCCTTTCCTGGCCATAAATATTTTTCCGTGAGCTGTCACTTCGTCGTAAAGTGGCTTGCCTTTCGAGAGAGAATGTTCAGGTGCGTGGATAATGAGTTAATTAGCAATATTCATGTATCTTCTTTTTAATGAAAAGCTCCGCTCAAAGATGTTAATCTCGAGGGGTTTTGATATAAGTGGTTCTTGCAATATATATGGTGAAGAGGAGGATGTTGATCACATCTTTATATGATGAGACGCAATCCGACTCTTCTTAGCTGGCGATGTCTTGGCTTCCGGTAGATAACGAACTTGATTAATTTGCATAAGGAGAATCAGATGCTTAAATCAGTATATAGTTGTGAGCTTATGAGAGATTTAACAAAGCAAGAGAGCTAGAGAGCTAGAGAGTAGAGATTACGCGTACCTTCGCCCCTGGAGGGTTGGGGTCTTTATATACTGGAGTCCTCGCGGGTTTTACGGAGTGGTTCCGGGATCCTTGCTATGATGAGGCCCGTTTCCGTATTAATAGGAGATAACGCCGCTAGCCGATAAGGTTTATCACTGCCGCCCTAATAGGACTGGGAGATAGTGCTAGCTGTTACGAGGCGTCATCCCGAAAAGCATGGGGTCCGGTGGTGAGATCCTCGGGGTTACCATATGAAGGTCAACCTGACTAGATAGTGAGCTGCCTGTGAAGTGCTGGGCTGCTTGGTGGCGAGCTGCCTGAGCTCTTGTTCCACAGACCTGATCTACTCCGAATGCCGAAGTGCCTTAGTACCGAGGTGATCTTGCACCGAGGTAGGCCTATCCCGAGGTGGCCACTTTCCGGGGTGGTTCATTTGTCTGAGCTCGATGTGTGACGAACATGGTTTCTATCCTGGTTGCAATCTGGTAACTTGAAGTAGCTTTGGTTCGGGGTAACAGGGTACCCAAGGTCGCTCTGTAGCAAACTGATCACACTGATCTGTCACTCGTGTCGGGTTTTGTTCACGTACCAATCTGATTGTGTCAAGTTGTCACTTATGTCGAGTCATGTCCACGTGTCTCCCCATTATGAGGTCGGGTCAAATCACCCTTCATCAATTGCCCCCACTCCCCTGGATAGGGGTCTTGACCTGGTGCGGGGAGTTCATGACGAGCCAAGTGGATTTGGTCTGAAGTTCAAGTAGCTAGTCAGATGAGTCACCGGTCAGATTTATTCGACCACGTGGGGGTATTGGATCCCGCACACGTCATCTTTAGTGAAGAACACGAGCTCTTCGAACCTTGGCCGCTTCGGGAGGTTCTGCTCTTATCTTTCCAACTCATGAGCCGACGTTTTCGCTGTGGCTGATGTGCAACCCATGACAATTGACCCGCCTGTGATCAGATGAATTATCCCTCGAACTGGCCTTTCTTCGGGCAGTTGTCTCTGCGGCTGCTCTATCTGCCTAATACTGGTCTCGGGAGCATCTCTCCCTTGCTCCCCCTAGTGATCTGCTTGATTTTTATTTTCTTTTAGTACAAAATTTTTTAGGTATCCCTGACGGATGAGTTCTTCGATCTCATCGCGGAGGTTTCTACAGTTTTCGGTGCTATGACCATGGTCTCTGTGAAAATGACAATATACATTTTTGTTCCTCGTATTTGGATCCCCTCTCAGTCGAGGTGGTGACTTTAAAAAGGATGCGTCCTTGATCGCCATAAGAATTTCTCTTTGCTTCGCATTCAAGGGCATACAATTCATCTCGTCGACTGGAAGAGCTCGGAAATGTTGATTTGGTTTATTCCCTCCTCTAACTACTTCATCCTTTTTCCGCTTATTATCCCCGTTGGTTAAGGCGTCGCCTTCTCTTTTCCTTTTCTCTTGTGGGTTCTCGCTTTTTTGGTTCATCTCTTCTTCTGTTCTGATGAACTGGTCAGCGAGCTTGAGAAACTCTGAGACATCTTTGGGCTTGTTGGCTACCACGTTCCACTTTAACTCCTTGTGGGTGATGCCTCTTTTCGTTGTTGTGAGTTTCATGGCGGGATCTAGGTCGGGGATCTGCAAGCACGCGTCGATGAACTGTTTGATGTAGCTCCGTATTGACTCTCCCACCCTCTGGACTATGCTGAGGAGGCTTTCCTGGGACCTCGGGCACCTCTTGATGGTGATGAAGTGCGAGGTGAATATCTGCACGAACTACGCCCAACTTTTAATTGTCCCGGGCGCAAGGTTTTTGTACCATGTACGAGCCACTCCCTTAAAGGTTGTGAAGAAGGCAATGCACATGCAGGATTCATCAGCCCCAGCTAGGTGCATCTGGGATTGGAAAGAATCCACATGGTCATTCGGGTCGAGCGACCCGTTGTACTTGTCCAGGGGAGGTACCTTGAAGTCTTTTGGCATCGAGACGACTAGGAGCTCGGGGGATAAGGGAGACGGCACGAAGAGGAGCGGAGTGGTCTTTACGGTTCCCGAGCTCGCCTCTTCTTTGCCTTTGGGCAGTTTGGGTTGTCTTTGATTGTGGCTCGGCTAGCCTTGCGTTGTCGCCGTTGTTGCCTCTTGATTGGCTCCGCGTTCGTACTGCTGGCTTCTGTACCATCGGGCACTATTCTGGCATGATGCTACTCGGACTGTTGAGGATGGTTGTTGCGGATGGAGGGGCCTTGTCTTGAATCCACGACTAGAGCCCCGAACCGGTTTCCCGCGAGCAATCGTTCGAGCTGTGAAGGCTGGGGTGAAACAGCACTAGCGGGCTGAGTGTCTCCCAACCTATTTGCCTAGGCGAGAGGAGTGGCTGGCCGCTTTCCCCTGCGATGGGTTGAAACTTGGCTCCCGTGAGGGTTTTGAGTCCGGGAAGTTTCTCCTTGGCGAGGCGGTCGACCGTTCTGACGACGAGACCTGTTTGGTTGTGTCTCAGGATGCCGAGGTGGAATTTTCTTTGGAGCTTGTTGCAGTGGTGGGAACTGCTGCTGGTATTGCTACTAGTAGAAGTGATGCAGGACCTACTTCTGTATTGCTAGAACTGCTGAACTTGCTGCATCTGGTCTTGCATAGCCCGTACACAATGCACTAGGTCATTGAGTTGGTTCTGCCTGACTGCAGGGGGGATTACCGAGGGTTCGACAAAGGTTGCCCCTACCGTGGGAGGGAGAGGGGCATACACCGGTGCCATAACCCGAGGCACATTCAAAGTTGGCACCCCATCTGCAGAAAGGGGCACAGTGTTCTGCCCGGTGTTATTGGAAGATGCCATGGATGTTTTTTCTTTTCTTTTGGGGAAGACGAGCTTTTTGTATCAGGTTCCCACAGACGGCGCCATATGATGAGACGCAATCCGATTACTCCTAACTGGCGATGACTTGGTTTCCAATAGACAATAGACTTGATTAATCTGCACAAGGAGAATTAGAGAACCCGGGGGGCTTGCCCGGAGAGGTTACTCCGATGCTTAAGTCAATATATGGTTGCGAGCTGATGAGAGCTTTAAGAAAGCAAGAGAGCTAGAGAGCAGAGATTACGCGTACCTTCACCCCTGGAGGGTTGGGGTCTTTATATACTGGAGTCCTCGCGGGTTTTTCGAAGTGGTTCCGGGATCCTTGCTATGATGAGGCCTATTTCCGTATTAACATGAGATAACGTCGCTAGCCGATAAGGTTTATCACTGCCGCCCGAATAGGACGGGGAGGTAGTGCTAGTCGTTATGAGCTGTGATCCCGAAAAGCACGGGATCCGGTGGTGAGATCCTCGGGGTTACCATGTGAAGGTCAACCTGACTAGATAGTGAGTTGCATATGAAGTGCTGGGCTGCTTGGTGGCGAGCTGCCTGAGCTCTTGTTCCACAGACCTGATCTACTCCGAATGCCGAAGTCCCTTAGTACCGAGGTGATCTTGCACCGAGGTAGGCCTATCCCGAGGTGGCCTCTTTCCGGGGTGGTTCATTTGTCTGAGCTCAATGTGTGACAAACTTGGTTTCTATCATGGTTGCGATCTGGTAACTTGAAGTAGCTTTGGTTCGGGGTAACAAGGAACCCGAGGTCGCTCTGTAGCAAATTGATCACACTGATCTGTCACTCATTCGGGTCACATCCACGTGCCAATCTGATTGTTTCAAGTTGTCACTTATGTCGAGTCATGTCCACGTGTCTCCCCATTACGATGTTGGGCCAAATCACCCTTCGTCAATTGCCCCCACTCTCCGGGCTAGGGGTCTTGACCTGGTGCGGGGAGTTCATGATGAGCCAAGTGGATTTGGTCTGAAGTTCCAGTAGCTAGTCAGATGAGTCACCGGTCAGATTTATTCGACCACGTGGCTCGACCAGAAAAACCCAGATCACATCTGTATACGCGCGGACGTCACGGGGTTATAAATTCCGCAAACGTCAAAAAACACGCTAAACTGATTTTGGCCTCGGGGATCGCGTAGCTGGTTTTTCTAGGAGTCGTCGGATCAATTCAATCTCGACCATTAGCTTTCAGACATTGCAGCTATAATTAGGGGGGCCCGTGACTCATTCTTCTCATCATGAATTCTGTGATTGAGCTCTCTCGAGGTCGCATCGAAGCCTTCCAGGTCGGTCTTCTTTCTGTTTTCCACTTCGTCATTTCTTTTCGGTGAGTCCTTGTTCTTTAGTTTTTTTTTTCCTACTTTTCAATCATGTCGAGTTCTGGTGTAGATTGGCTCTTAGATA